TCTTATACATTTATGAGTATTTATAACTATAAACACATTATTAAAGCTATTTAGTTTACAGTTTCATTCAAAAAGTTTTGATCTTTTATTACAAATTTAAAGAAATGTGGTCTAACGTGGCATATCTCACTTTCTACAAATAAGCAAGTTAAAAATTCCCTACAAACCCGACTAGATGGGACTCACTTTGTACACCTATAAAATTACTAAGATATCACAAGTTTAAACATTTCAAATTACAAAACAAGTAGTTAAGCTTTTTAGAATGAATACGTAAGGATGTTGGTGTGTAGTAAGTAAATTTTAGCATTGCTCTTAAGAGCCTTCTGAAAGTAACTATTTTATTGAATACTCTAATTATCAAATACTCTTATAATTCATTAAGTAATGGCGGCAAGGTAACCAAAATTGCCGCAACTCAGTCAGGCAAAGCAAACCTACTTTCCTTATACAGTGTTAATGCATACAGGGAGATGTACAAGCCAAAACATTCAGGCAAACATTCCTAAGTAGAGACTTTGGTAATGATTTGCATATGTCTTTCGGCTGTCGAGCCACGGAATGAAATACGATTTCGTATTTACTTGTACACCAAATTGCTTTTAGTGGCTTCTATTGGACGCGCCTAAGAAATTATGTAAGCGTTTTCGATGTGTTTTCCCTGCGAGTGTTTGCGGTCAGGGCTTCTGATTTATGAACAGGAAGAGTCTCAACTCACTAAAATAAACCGGAAAACAATACCATCTGCAAGTCACCGTCTTGTAAGCCAATTTTAATTAAACCAAAACCTTTAAGGAAAACGTGAAAATGGGTAAAGAATGCAAAGATTGGCAGGAATTGGAAGTGAAGTGACCCGGAAAATGCGGAATTTGCCTGTGGCAGTCTAAAAAGTGGAAGCGGAAAGAACAGGACGCAATATTATTTGAATACCTTTGCGTCAGTATCAAGGTGGTTAAGCTTAAAGTAAAGAGAAATTGTACATAAAAATAGTGTGGTTCTTGAAAAATTAATGTAATATCGAATATATTTTGATGTCTTTCCTGATGTAATAAAACAGCAAAGTTTTAAAGAAGTTCTAAAAAATACTTCTGACTGGATTTGCTTGTTCTATTTTAATGAATTGTTAGCCAAGACCTATTACTCCTTTAATTTTTAAGGGAATATACTATAAAGTATACACATTAAACCAGGTTATACATAAGTGGGCTTGCTGGCAGACGAAACAGGAAACTTAAATTTAATTATATACGTTTATACATATGAATATGTACAAATTGTATGTAATTACAGTATTTGTAAAATGTTTACGCGCCCAAAAATGCCATCGATTTCGACAAAAGACTCTGTGGTTCCACAACGAACAAAAAAATAAAGAGAACACAAATCGATTTTTTCCCAGCCGCGGCGGTCATTAAAGGTGTGTTCTATTCTGCTGGAGGGACGGACAGGTGAGCGTGACCGGGCAAATTACTTAATTAACGCACTTCTCTGACAGAGGCAAACTTTTGGTCTCTGTCAGTCAAGCTGGGCGAGAATTCTGCATTGTGGAACCTCGACCTTGTTGTTTGCAGACTGAATTGTGTGCGAGTGTCATTGAGTTTGGCATTTAGCTGGCAACTTGACCTCTTGACCTCGCCGCGCAATGCCGCCAGGCGGTTTAAAAGCGTCGATGGGGGAAAAATCAATGGATTTCGGGAAACTCTCTAATCACAGACTTCGGCTACCTTTTGCTTTCGAAGCTGACAGGTAACCATTAGATTAATCAAAAATGCAGACATAGTTATTATAGGAATTTTTCATGTGGCCAACCAGTATCTTAGCCCTGAAAAGTGTCAACACGGCTCACACACGTTGGTTCCCCGCCCGGTCCTACATGTAACGCAAAAACAGTTTTTTGCCCCATAATCTTGATCTACTTTTCATGTACCGTGCAACGAGCTCTTTGGCTTATTATTTATTGGCTTTTTGATAAGCCAAATTGCCAAGTGAGCGTCTTTTTTCCCCACCTTTCTTATGGCTTTATTATGCCTGCCCTGCGCGTCGTGGCGGCATCCCCATAAATCTTGCGGCTTTACTCCGTGTTGTTTTGTTTCTCAGTTTGATTTGTTTGTGAGTCCTTCGAGTGCCATAAAACAATTACTCGGACCTCTTTAAAATCGTATTTGGTATTGGCCGTGGCAAGCTGGAAACGGCAAACTGCCGGATGTAAGCACACAATCACAGGACCCGCAATTTTATTGTCGATTTGAAACAGTCTGTGCCCAAGCCCTGGGGACAGTTCTCGCATGTCTGTCAACATGCTCCACAAACTTGCTTTCCCATTCAATATTGGTATTTGTTAAACACTCTCAGCCATGAGTCGTGTTGATTAAAGTGCTATATAGGCGGTAATACATATTACGCATACATCTATGAATTTCGACAACTTGCTGGAAAATGTAGGACTAAAGGACCTTCCTAGTTTACAGTAATTTACCAGGGCTACAATGGAGCATACGTATGAAACTATTGATTGATTGAACTATTGGTAGTTTAAAAAAAGTTCTAAAGGGATCTGAACAATGAATTCCAACGAGGCAGTATATGTTTTTATAGATACAAATAACTAGCTAAATTATTTGGCAATAAAATTAAAAGTTTAGTTTCAAACTAGTGTAAAAGCTAAGTATTTTTATAAAAACTTCAATTCTTGTTGGAAAATTGTTCGAAATTAATAATATACATTTGTGTACTTACTTCACTTCAGTATTATGTTCATAAAGTTGTCCATATGCTTGGCATTTTTCAATTTGTCGATTTCATTGCTGTTCCAGGTTAATAATTTTTGTTTTTAGCTGTCGTTTGGTTGCCGAAATCTTCACTACAATCTATATTCTTTCGTATAAATAAAGGTTACACTAATTCACTGAAGCAAACTTCTTCTTAGCTCGTTAGTTTGTTAAACTTGAGAACTTTTAACCACTTTAAGCTATACATTTATATACTTATATTTGACTTGCACTGACACACACTCTTAACATGTACGCATGTACGTATATAACAGATGGACTATATTATATAGACACCAATCGGAGCTGTAAGTGGAAAGAGAAAAGGGGAGATTAGCTTTTGGAACGAGTTACAAGGTCTCATAAACATTTTGGTCACATAAACGCGTTGGATCCCATCGCATTACAACCCTTTATCTAATTTCCCAAAAAGCCATTCCGTGACCTTCCCGAAAGCATTACCAACAAACTCCCACAAATAATTGGTTGTAAATGCAAACGTAAGCGCCGCTAACCCAAAAGCACCGCCCACGGAACAATTTGATTGCACAATGGCTAGGCACAGGCACAGACACAGGCTTTGGATGAATGGCAAGGGATACTCAAAGGGTTCACTTACGCTCACAAACACCACATATACATAAATAAATAAATCATGATGTATGGATCTTTTCATGGTTAATATATGTAAGTATGGGTATAAACAGTACCAAGAAAAGTCGGATGGTTTTAGATAAATAACATTGTTTTGGAAAAAAATAAAAATAAATAAATGTGTCTTAGAAAGTCTACCAGTCTGTACTCGTAGCATAAGGAGAGGATCCAAAGAGGGAATTTCGCAATCTGTTTTAATTTAAATAGTCAGCGTTAATACTTAGTTACTTTGACTTTTGCTAGCAGAAAAGTATGCTATAATTTGCTTTATCCGTACTCCAAAGTTGGAATACCTTTTACGTCTTTTATCGACCGACACTCACGGGCCAACAGGGGTATTATTAATATATACCAATGTTTGTTTGATTTTTAAAAAAAGATTTTAAAATATTATTGACCATAAACGAAGATGTTTAATATAATTTCAAGAAAAATTTGTTCTTTAATGTTTGAAACACGATTTCGGCTTAAATATAAATAAGAAATTCAAATTATTAAGCACGTTTGAGCCGTCTCCTTGTGAAATAAATTGTTATATTTATTTACATATTATTTTTTATTTTATTTGTTTGTTTTTTAATCCAGCTCTAAATAATTGAACATTCTTAAATGCCAAAGACATGCAGCAGCATTTTATTAAAATATGATAGCCTTAGAAAATTTGTAGCCAAAATGTATGTACATATGTATATTCATATGTGTATTCATTCCTTTAATAAAATATTACAGCAATATAAAGACTGGACAGACATGAAGCTGACTCTTGTATGCCGAAATGTGTATTCTCTTGCAGTTTGATTAAATAGAAAAATACGCTTCTCTGAAGAAATATCAAAAATATTTACATAAATTTATATACTATAAATAATAGAGGGTTTTACCTATTTTAACGATATTTTTCCATATTAATAGAATGATCGTTTCTATGACAGTTTTGTGATTTAGTTGTTCGACTTTGATCAATTTAAGAGCCAATTTTTAAATTGTAATTCAACTTGTACAAAATTAAAAAACCTATTTGAAATTTTCATATTATTTTTCTTTATGCCAATAAACATTTGTAAATTAAATCTCTAATATGAATTTGAATTCACCTGATTTCGGAAGAGTTGCTTTCAGGTGATAGGTACATTTGATTAATGTATGGAAAATAACAATTTATGTTTTAATAAAGGGAATTACAATTTTTGTGTGAAACTTAAGTAATTCACTTTGTGATTGTGAGCTGGTGATTATTTGCATGCTGCATTTGCTGCAGTCCCAATCGCAATTTATTATTTGTGAAAACAATCAGACTCCTTTCAATCTTTAAAACCACATTTATTTATTCACACGGAAAGTTTTAAAATGTTTGCGGGGTGCTCTGGATTAATTAATTCCTTGGCAGTAAACGAATTTGCATGCCAAATAAATTATGACCACTGGCCATATTTCTCTTCTTTTTATAGGAACCTGTAGCCCTCCAAACAACAAGAAAAACCCCAAAACCTCACCCACATAAAGTGAAAATGTAGGTCAGCAATGTGAATTGAAAATCACAAAACAAATAACACACATATATGTATGTACCCTTCAGTTCCAGAATTCCTCGCCCGTCCAATTCCTCGCGGTATGTTCGAAAAACAAAAACAAATTACATGGGCCTCGTTCAGTGAAGTTCGAAACAAAATAGCCGAAACAAATTCTACCTACGTTCGGCTACTGCCGAGGGCTTCACGAAGTTCGTTCTTTATATTTGTTATTGTTTTCGATCTACGTTCGGAGTAGCGGTTGCGAGAATTCGTAAATTAGAGAGAGATGGAGATGGAAGGAAGGGAGGAAAGAAAATTGGTGTCAAAAACAAAGAGTATTGCACCGACGTGAGAATGACCTTTTTAAAATAAGTAGAGTTATTTAAAAATATTTAAGATTATATTTAATTAATTTTTACGAATAAAATCGTGTGGGATATAAGCACGTAAGAAAATGTGCTTTAGACATGGCCGAAATGTTCATGTTTGATTATTGGCCCTTTGTGAATCTAATTGCAAGGCATTGCCTTGTCGGCTATACCCTGACACGCGCGAGAATTTTCGGTGTTCGGTTTTGTCTTCTAATTCTCTTTGCATTTTGAGTTGACTGCTGTTGCATTCAGAAGTGTTTTGCGTATTAGTTGCGTAAAAATGAAATATTATAAGGTAAGTGGATCTTATTTGCATTCAATTATTAATTTTAATTGCGGAATTGACGATTAAAATGGATGCGACTTCAACCTAGACGGTGTGAATGGGATTCAGTACGGAATTACAAAGTTTTTTTTATCCAGTTTAAGTTGGTATGTACTGCAATTTACAATTTGATTCAAAAATATGTATGTACTTATGTATTTAATTTACAGATAAAACAAGTTTCTTAAAGGACACAGCAGCCGACAAAGGAGGCCCGTGACACGCACTTATGTATGTACATATGTATATATATGTACATGTTTAATTTTGCAGAAAAATGTAATGCTACCAAAAAAGTGAAGATAAATAAAAATATGCAATCCATAAATAAATAAGAATTAAATTACATCGGATTTTTATAGGAAGGGGGGATTTTTCAGGAATTTTCTATAGGTTTTCATCTGGGATTCCTCGACGATTGCCGCCAGCGATTCCTGTGCGATTCCTCGACGATTCCTCTAGCGATTCCCGCAAGATTCGTCGACGATTCCCCCAGCGATTCCTTGACGAATCGTGCACGATTATCTTTCGAAATTCCCGGTGACTTTCCCTGGCGATTCGTGGCGGATTCTTGGCGAATTTCGAATTCGTGGCTGGGATCACCTTTTGTATGGAAATTCCTCGAAGTTTTGTATGAACGTTCCCTGACGATTCGTCAGGGATCTATTTCGGTTCCGTGAGGAATCGTAGGGGAATCGTTGAGGAATGGAACTGAAGGGTATATACATATGGCTGGGCCATGTGTGCGTACTTTGGGCTTTGTCGCAGTGTAAAATCAATTTTCATGAAATGTGCCACGCGTCGTATGAGTAATCAGCGGGGACAAGCCAAACAAACAAAGCCTGGCAGGAACAAAGAGCCCAACGTATGCGTAATTCGTCTATTGACAGCAGTAACATATTGTGGTATAAATCAATTTGGCGCTAATTTCAATAAACCAGACAGGCTATAAAGTACGAAATGAATTAATTCGATAAGTATAAAAGATGGCTGCTAAAGACCACAGAAAACTATTTATAGAGGACCTTGCCGGTTGGCCAGATCAGAAATTATAAGGTCCAACATGTGGTTTGTACTTTATTGCTAGTAATCATCTAGTTAAATAAAGGTTACATGTCTTTGACTTACGTTTTAAAACTAATATAACAATAATATTTACATGGAAGTCTTTACATAACTCAAAGAATTCTTTTCATATGTTTTTGCTCATTTTCGGTAAATGGAAACTAAATAAAAACTCAAAAGTACAAAGGGATTTGTCAAATGCTTAATTTTAAATTTAATTTTTCCAGAAATAGTCAAGTAATAAACAAACCAAAAGAGTTCCTTTTATTCACCCAAAATGTTTTTTAATTTGAAAATGGTTTTTGCATACCTTTTTAAATCATCAGGACCATGATAATTAAGTAGCAACAACACATAATAATCCTGAAGTTGGGAAACTTAGATCCTTTTTGCCTTTGCTTGTTGAGCTTGGACTGCAACTGCAGCTGTAATTGAAAATACTCGTGGCCGGAGGACGATGCGTGGATGACGTTATTCTTTCCACCTTCATTGCCGATTTCTCCACCTTTGCAGTTCCGGAATTTGATGTCTTCGCAGTTTTTTATGCACATTTTCTATAGCTGACCTTTGCTTTGAGTTAATTTATTGTACGAACTTATTTGATTACGGTTTTACAGTTTCACAATCTCCTCTCCTTGATCTGATTTCTTTTCGTAGATTACATATACACGCTCTTTGTTACCAAAGTCAAAGGTTTTCATGGTCGCGAAAGTTTGCCAGTAGTTAGCCCCTCCTTCGTGAAGGCAATTTCCATAAAATATACAAAAAGACCAAATGAGAACATCGGTTAAAGTTGGTCAAACATTTTCTGTCCGAAAAATCTAAGAGGTAATAAACATAAAACGGAAGGACCCACTCAAACTGAAGGCGAGTGCGATTATTACTCGTTGAGGAGGGTCAGCAGAAGGAAAACTCATTGAGAAGGCATCCTGTTCTGGTAGAGAAAAATTAAGTGGAACTACATGTATTTGTAGTCTATATATTAGCCGAAATTTATTAGTTATCCAAGTCTCCCAAAGCTATGAGCTACAGTCCTCGATTTTGGTCAAAAAAATGCTCTCCCTTCGTATGTACTACACCTGTTGAAATAGGTTTTCTGATTGAATAGTTTTACAATTTCTTCAAGCCCATATTTTCCTGCCATAAACCTCCTTTGTTACCCAAGGAGCTAACTTAATCACGCGCCCGTTTCAATCAAAAGAACAGTGTGGAGTGGCATAAAAGTTTGTTATGGCCAGGAGTGAGGATGCTCCAGGGAGTCTTTGGCTTTAACGGAGACAAACGCGTTTAATTCAATCTCATTGGGAAATATCACACATATGTATGCCACGTGCGGCCAGCCCGGTGCCCACCTGAGCTAGGGCTGGGGAATTATTTTGCACAAGTTTGCAACTTTCACTTTTCACCTCATTTGACGCGAACTTTTGGCGCTGTGATACCGTTGCTGTGCCACCGCTCTTGGCCGTGTGACGAACGCCTCGCTCGCTGCCGTTTTGTATACTAAAGGAGCTCGGTGCCTGGCCACTGGATGCCAAGCAGCTGCGTCCTCAGTTCCTGTGGGAAGACAACTCTCTCTCGACTCTCCTGCTCTCTGTGGAAATGCGCGCGCAGGAGCGTCCAGAGCGCTGCCAAGTTGGCCAGTTCTTGACTTGTTTATAACAACAACTGTGGCGGCCAACAACAGTTGGGGAGCAAGTATAATATGGCCAGAGGCGTCGATTGCCGTTGGGCTCGACCATGTCCATGTTTTTCAGCTGCGTGTTTACTGTTGCTATTGCCCAGTGCACTTAGCCTGAACTTTTGGGGCTGACTTGTCGAAAAAAAAGTTGGCAGCAAGCGACTTCAAGGCAGTTCTAAAGATCTCGCCTGACGCTGACAGCCAGGCGTTGGCCGGGCCAAAACACTACGACATGCTCTTGCCCACACACACCCATGTGTGGCTGCTGCTCCTTAGCCATATCCTTGCGCGGCTCGCACGCCCACCAACCGACTTTGAAATAAATTCACGTTGGCCTTTGGCTTTGGCATTGGCCACTCTCATTAAAGCCAAAAGTTATAGTCTTGCTTGGCATAAATATGTACATACATATGTACTCAAGATGTATAGCCCATCAAGTTGACTAATTTGGTGCTCTCAGCTTACTGTCTGTCAATGAGTCTATAATGGCTCCCAAATAAATGTCCAAAATGGGATGGCCCTGCCAGAGGAAAATTAATCTCTTGTTCTATAAAACAAACACAAATATTTACATATAACTCATTTGCAAATTAGATAAAAATCTCTAAGATTATCTGTAGCTGAGTAAATCTATTTTTCCAATTTGTATTCATATATTATTCTCCAACACGTGAACATTAAGCTCTTTGTTAATCACAGGAAGCTAAGTCGAAAGTTGCACTTTTATTGAGAGATATCTTGAAGAAGCCATTTCAGTTGGAGTACTGTTGAAAAATTGATATCTTAGCCTAGGCATGGCCCCATAAGCGGCTAAATATGGAGTAAAAATTTATAAATATTTAGTCAAATTTAAACATGTTTATTTTCATGTTAGGAAAACTTAAAATCTTTAAAAATGGAAAGCTAAGGCGTGTGTAGGTTGACCAATGTCACTATCTTTTCCCAATCTGTCGATGCATATAGGAACTGGTTCGCTCTAGCTGGGATTTTGCTTAAGATATACACAACTGTTTTGCATATCAACTGAGAACTAAGTCCTCCCCGCACCCCATTTCGCTTGCCCGTTCTTGGTGCACAGAGTCGAGGCTGACTTGGGTATTCAACGAAATTATCATGCCGCCGTGCACGCCTTGCCCCGTACGTGCCGTCGCCTGTATCCTGTACATCTGAGTCCTTGATCAGCGGGCACAGAGCCGTGGGGCTGCTCCTATCCAACCACTTCTACTTCCACGGTCAAGCTGCTTATCTCACACAAAACACTGGTTGCTTTGGCAAAAGAAAACGACGCGACTTGCCAAACATGAACTGAGGCAAAAAATTACAAAAGTGAAATATCGAAATCTTTTCTATTCAAAGCAGAGAACGAAAAAATTGGTAAAAATTATACAAAACTTTATAGCGTGCCAAATCTCGTAGGTTTTCCTATTCAATTGTGTATCCTCACTCTGCCTCAACAAGTTTCTCGTTGGAGATTGCCCGCTGGCCTGGCTAAAAGCCCCTCTAGGTAGGGGTCGTAAAACAATTGGGGAAAAGGAAAAGGAATTTGCAATGCCCTCGGACATGTATAAAAACAGGGCCGGCGACTGATGGGGAGGAGTTGCCAAGGCAGTTAAAAGGCAGTTTTATATTCATTACAATCCAAGCTGCCGGAGCAAGGAACAACAACAGCCGGCAGCGTAAACTACCAACAACCAGCCACAGCAACATCAACGATTTACGACTCCATACCGAGTAGGTCGACATTTTTATTATTACGAGTGCCACAGCTCACCTCACACAGGCGGTGTGTGTGCCCCACATCATCTGCGCACGCATATACTTACCACCCACATAATATCACAAAATGGCCGCTGGTCGCCACAGCACAAATACAAAGAAGGGAGATCGGACTGCGCCGCCCGAGTGCCTCATCTATGAGATTCCCGGAACTGACTGTATTTGAATTATCTTTGCACCTCTCAATGTGCATTGTTGTGACGATATAGAGTGTATACATATATATAGAATATCCGATTTATATCTGGACTATAAAAGACTAGTCGGCAGCTTGAAACAGATGTTCCATACAAGCTGCTCTTTCGATATATTTATTTTATGAAACAAACATTAACGAGCAACAAGCTAACTTCGGCATGCCGAAGTTGGCAATGAAGTTGGCATTGCAGTTGTCACCTGGATAATTAACAATAGATCCAAAAATAAAAGGAACCATATAAAAGATATTTATTTAAACATAGCATATCATTATTTGGCTTTAATAAAATTTCAAAAACATTATTTTTAAATCGTATAAATAAAAATTTTACCACTGTTGAAAAATGTATTATAATTTAAATGAGAAATGTATATACTGAACAAAAACTAAGTAAACTTTCAATTATATTTACAGTTACAGTTTTGGATTCACAGCTTTACATTTGATAATATGACAAAATCGTTCCATTTCCATACAATTAAAACCAAATGTCGACCGTTCCGACATTTATAGTAATAGAAGTAGAATAGTCAAAAGATTATCTGCAAAGTTTCATTTAGATAGCTTCAAAATTGAGGGACTACTTTGCGTAGAAATGGACAGAGGGAAATAGCTAGATCGACTCGGCTGTTGATGCTAATAAAGAATATATACTTTATACTTTATGAGGTCGGAATCGTCTCCTTTTCTGTGTTACAAGCTTCTAACTAAAATGGTTTTCATAGCGATATGTTTATACCCTTGCAGGGTATTATAATTTCAGTCAGAAGTTTGCAACGCAGTGAAGGAAACGTTTTCGACCCTATAAAGTATATATATTCTTGATCAGCATCAACAGCCGAGTCGATCTAGCCATGTCCGTCTGTCCGTCTGTCCATCTGTCCGTCTGTCCGTCTGTCTGTTTCTACGCAAACTAGTCCCTCAGTTTTAAAGCTATCTGAATGAAACTTTGCATATAGCCTTCAATATACTCTCACTGCAATATATGTCGGAACGGGCCGGATCGGACGACTGTATCATATAGCTGCCATACAAATGTTCGATATATTTTTAGAAAAAAAATTATAACTTTGCTGTTTTTCAACATTTTTGAACCATTTTTTAGATATGGCCATTTTATATTATTTCAGAATTTTGGTAAAAATTTTATGAAAATCGGACGACTATATGATTTAGCTGCCATAGGAACGATCGAGAAATAAATAGGAAAAAAATTATAGCTTCGTTGTTTTTCAACGTATGTTTATCTACTCTGAGATATAAGCTTTTTTTATTATTCTAGAATTTTGGTATAAATTTCATAAAAATCGGACAACTATATCTTATAGCTGCCATAGAAGCGATCGGTAAATGTATAAAATATATAAAGTTGGGAATGTAAAACTGTAACTGTCAAACTGTAAACATAATAAGTATAGGTAAAATGTAATGAAACTCTGTTCTGTGAGTGCTTTCAGCATTTAAATCTATAATATAAACATAAAAACCAATCTGCAAGGGTATACAAACTTCGGCGTGCCGAAGTTAGCTTCCTTTCTTGTTTTCTTTTTTATTTGCATTTTACATTAGTAATTTTAAATGTTCCTTGCTGATTTTAATATAAATTATTTATTGTTATTAGAAAAACCAACATAAAAATAAGAATTTAAAATAATACATTAAATATAAAAATAAACCTTTTTAATTTTCAGGTCTTTAAAGAGCTTCTGATAAAGAAAATCTAACAGCAGAAAAATTGAAGGACGAATCAGCACACTCAAGTACACACTCATCCATATATTTATATACACATGCACATACATATACCTAAAAACCCATAGACACACCTAAGGTGAAGCCCCGAGCTCACATAGACAACAGCGAAAGCACGAGCAAAATATTGCAGCAGCGTAGAGGGGAAGAGAAAAAGTGAAAGTAATGGGCAGGCTGAAAACTTTTTCTTTCGCTTAAATAACCTGACTGAAACTCTCTACCCAGCTCAGCTATTTCTGAAGGACTTTCGGTCCGCAGTTTTTTGTTTCTGCTTTGGCGATTGCTTATTTGTTTTGCGCTAAAAATTAAGCGGCCACGAAAAGTTTGTGGGTATGGTGAATTACTTTACACGGCACTTGAACACGCAGGCAATGAGCAAACCAACAAACGGAGAAGCCAAATTAAGTTTAATTAAATTAAAGTAATAGATAACATCTAACAATGGATAAACTTTTAACTTTCAGCTACTTAAAATTATAAAAAAATGTTTAAGAATGTGTCATTATGACTTATAAGGCAATATTTTAAAAGTAGTTAATATAATGTAAAACCGATTATAATATTTAATATATGTCATATTAATGTTAGGAACGATTCAGCACTTAACACAATTTTAAACTTAAAAGCCATTAATGGAAACATTGTTTTATTTCCATTAATAAATTGCAGAAATTTCTTCGCAATTACGTTTCTTTTTTCGAAACTTTAGTTAAACCCTTACCATTTCCCCTCTCTGGCTACAGTTGGAGCTGGCAACCCATCAATTATAATAACGATTGCCTTCCAATAAGAATAAGTGATTGTTATCAGGCACCGGACACTGCAATTACTCTGCACATAAACTAGTCGTGTAACCCACGACTGATACTTCCCAACTGATAAGTGACAACTTATTCAACGAGTCGCCCAAATAAAACAGGATACAGAAAGTAAAGACAGCCAATTTGGCCGCGTTTCAAATGAAAGCATTTTATCAGGCAATTCCTGGCTGTTTGCCACTAAGGGCCACGCATAAACGAAGCTGCCTGATAAGAGATACATTTTTTACGTACTTTCGGTTAAAGTTCGAGCGACGAAAGCCAAAGCAACAAGACGAGGACGAAGGAGTCGGTCGAGAGGTGGCACTAGCACTAACACGCACGTTGACATTGAATTTTAATTTATGTTTGTTGATTACATTTAGTTTTTTATGCGAAAAAAAACAAACGAAATAGCACGAATTCAGCCGAGCTCTTTAAAGTGTGGCTTGTTCTATTTTGAAAGTGTTTATTCTTATGTACACATATTACTTTTTTATTTTTAATATATGCAATGTAGCTACTGTTGCTGTTGGTGGCTTTAGAGGAGTTTCTTCTGTATATTATTGGTTCGGTTAAGGGTGCTGTGAGTGTGTTAACGAAATAAGGAAAGATTGTCTACTGAGTGTGCGAGTCTTGTCCGAGTCCTGTCGAACCAGGGCTCGCCTTCGCCGTACCACCGTGCGTATGTGTGATATGCGTTTCGTGTTCCATCTTCCTCTTTCCTTTTGTTTTAGGAAAGTGCGCGCGCAAAATGCCTATGGCAGGCGACACAACAGCTGTGCTGTCTCAGCTGCTGCTACCGAGAGAGAGGAACGGAAACGGACCGAGAGAGCGCAGACGAGAGCAGGAGAAAGTTGGCGCTCGGGCGCACGCTCGCCGAAGGACGCCGAGCCCGTGCTCGGGTGCAGGTGCGGGAGCGGGTGGGACAGATGTTAAAGTGAAAGTAGTCTTGTTGATTACCATCCTTCAGAGTTTGCCCACATTGGAAAGGTCGCCAATTTCACTGATAATACGAATCCTTTTGTGCTGGCAATGCCGTCACAGCTGTTGGCACAGTATCCGAGATAGAGAGAGCGGAAATACAGGGAGCGCACCGGAAGTGATTTTCCCAAGTGACTTTCTCTTGGTAATTTTTAAAATGTGGCGAATATTTTTTATATTAAAATGAGTGAACTTATTTTCTAAAATCACTGAGACTATGGAGAGGTTAACTACATTTTATGTACTGAAAATCTATAATCAGCTTATAGTAAAATTAGATATTGATATTAATCAAAAGGTATAGCTTTAGTAAATTTTTTTGCGTACTTGGATTTTGATAAATGCTATTGAAATAAAAAATTAATATTATTCTAAACCCTCAGAAAAAATGTAATTAGTTTCGTTTTCTGCACTGAGCTGCAGGATATCTAGCCTGAAACTAAAGACTTCCATTAGCGTATAGAAATTTAAGCTAATCAAATTGTTGTTAATTTCTGATCTGGCCTTGTCTGTCTACCTGTCCGTTACAATACGAACAAATCTAAATAAAACTTTACAGATAGACTTACATTTTTACGTATTTAAACTACAAAGAAAATGTGTCAAGACTTTATATTAATTTTACAACATTTGAAACATAGGTTTTGGTTAGCACTATAATTGGTGCTAAGATCGATTTTGGGGAATTTTTAAGGAATTCTCATACGGCACAGACAGAATTCATTTTTTTGAAAACCAGTTGTATCACTGATGCAAATCGCGATAAGAGATTATAATGCAATTAATTTATATAACATATATCAGCTCTTAATAATAATAATATATTTTGAGTTTAAAAAAAAAAAGTGTTTAATTGAATTTTAATTCGAATTTTACTTTTTTCGCACAATTTCTTTCATTATACTAGTATTTAAGTAGTTTTTTTACCATAATAATGGGAAAACCTTTCTAAAATTAAGTGAAACATTTTTTTTTTTTAAGTTAGGGTCATTTTTATTGAATTCAGGGTAATTAACGCAAATTGCATTTATTAATAAGCAATAATAATATTATTTTTATTGTACCATATAATAATAATATAATAATAATAATAAGAATATTGTTTTTTTTTATATTATTATAATGATAATTGTTTAAGGGGGGACATCTGAGTAACTTTTTTTTAAAATCGAAAATTTTTTTTTTGCTTAAAACAACATTAAAAATAACATACCAAAAGATAGAGTCCGGCAAAAGTTTCTAAGTGTCGAAATTTTTTATTCTGCGGCGATGCCTCTTATGTAAATATATACGATCTTAAAACTTTAAACGCGTTTTTCTCAAAACCACTTTTTTTGAGTTGGCCGAAAACATAACTCGAACAAATCTTAACCGATCGATCTGAAATTTTGACAGTATATCCAAAATACCTATGGCTATCGACACACGTAGGATTTCTTTTTTTTTTTTTTGCTTACTTTTTTTTTATCAACAATTTTGTGACGTTTTTTTTCATGAAAATTGAACATTTTATTTAATAACTCACCATTTTGCTAAAAATCAAAATATCGAAAAAATCCTACGTGTGTCGATAGCGGTTGAGATAAAGTAACTAACGAAATTTGATTTTTTGTTCTAGATCAAAAATTAAGGATGTTAGGTTTTCGGCCATGGACCCCTTTCAAAAAAATAGGGCCTACGAAGACATGCTGCACAGCCGCCATTTTGTTTTCGATTTATTAAAAAATATTTTGTAGTTCACATCTAACAATATCAAACCTACTTTAAAATTTTTCGATTGGCTTTTTCATTTGGCTAAAAAAAATTCTAGAAAATGGGCTTTTTTTTGCCAGTTACTCAGATGTCCCCCCTTAATAAACAATAATATATAATATATAACTGTATACAAATTTGTGGTTTCTTTTTCTCAAAAATATCTAGAAAACCAATGGCCATTCCATTAAAATTTACCTATATATGTACATATGTGCATGTCTATCAGTTTAACGCCTAAGTATTTATTTGCTTATTGTATCAATATATTACAATATTACCATGTCTAATTTCACGCTTTCTAAAAGATTGGCAAGTGAACCATAAACGTGACGTTCTATCGCGAGCATTAGATATCTGAGTACTTCCGTTTGGCGACTCAAAGCAATTATAGCTTCATTTACACGGCAGTTTTTACAGCGAACCTGAAGCCCCAGCGATTGAAAAGAATCTCGATGCGAAAGCATGAACTATCGGTGCACTATATAACCCAGTGAAGTTGAAAAAGTTGTCGCACTCAGCGAAAATGGAAATGTGGAACACACCCCCCCATATGGATATTATTCTCATCTTATGTCTGGTGATGGCGAGCGGTGGATCTGCCATGCCCAGATACAGCCAATTGGGGTAAATATTTCAACTAACAGGCTTTGAGCATTAAAATGTCACAGTTCACAATATTCAGTAGACTGGGACCACTATCGGCAGGCAATAACGGCAATATGACCACCATTAAATACCCCGGACTGCAGACGGATAGAACAACCTCGGCCACTCCGGTCTTCGAGTACTCCCTCTTGGGTGAGGACCCAAAAGATCAGCACTGGTATCGTGTTAGCCTCACTCCCAAGGCAAACAACTCAGCTTACCGGGCCCAGTTCGCCACTCGTAAGCATCCGCCCTTTGATGAGCAGTTGGCCCACCGGCACGATAAGACCATTCAAGACTTGCTTAACTGGCTGGACCGCTCCGAGGATCAGAATCTCTGGCAAACCTACCGAGATCTCTTAGAGTACCCCTCGCTGGAAGCACACTCAGAACGAAATGGCAACGAACTTGAACATAAGGAGCAGGTGCCAAGAAAAGTGTGCGATAGACGAGATCATTTGTTGTTGGTGGGGGATGAGAGAACTACCACTTCCACACAACCAACTCCTATCGAAGGCGAACTCAAGAGTGGGGATGGCTTTGTGTATTTCGTTAAAGGTCTTAAGCCATCTACTGAGTCTGTGGTTCATCATTGAATTATGCTTTTTTAGTTCTGAAAAATTGTATTGCATTTTAGGTAAATAAATGGAACATTCAAAAATATATAGTAACTTCAATAGCTCCTTCTTTTGTTTGTATATAAAAGTTGCTGTTTTCAACAAATTTGGAAGGGTTAAAATTGGAAAATTTTCCTTAAATAACCTGTTTGAAAATGCATAAGATACGACCTGAAATTAATTTTAGGTAAACAGTTGGAAAGATTTATATGTTGAATTACAGACAAATAATTTTATATTTATAATAAATAAGCATATTTAAAAGGAAAACTATAGTTTTTAAAAAGCTTTATTGGTGAAAGCTCCTCCTTAGCTCTTGTTTCGAAAAAGCTTTCCAAGCCAAGCCTCCACCCAAAAACTTCTCTTATACTCAAACAAAACAAAAGGTTGAACTGGGCTGCTTAGGTTGCCAATTTGTCTGGAGATGTGGAACAGCCGAATGGGGTCTTGCCCAAGAACCTAGTTAGCTGACACTTGCTGCTCCACGTTGGCTTACATTGAGTGGAACGCAAAAAATGAATTTAAATAAACATGTCAAGAGCAATGCAAGCAAACACTTTTGGCTTGAGCTCAACGACCAGGGGCTGCTTGTTACTTGGACTCTCCAACAGCCTCCTGACCATGACCGCACCCAGTATCCCTACTGGCCCGTTCCTTGCTGGGGTCCGATAGACCAGCTTGTCCTGCTTCTTGTCATAGGTTAGCAGACTGGAATTTAAGTCTGTTGAGCAACGATCCCCCAGAGATGTATAGCCATGATCGTAAAGGCATCAGTACGGCAGAACGTTAACCCGCAAGTAGTTCCAGATATCGTGATAGGTCCACTCGAGCAGCGGGAAGATACGCATGAGCGGCGGCCGGCCGTTGTCGCAGGGCAGCTTCTCGGGAAACATCCCGCAGCCGGGATCAGTGCGCCGGCAACCGAGGAACACGGTTTGCACATGGGGATCCTCTCGCACTAACTGCTCAAAGGCCAGCCTCATTACTCTCGAGTCGATGCAACTTCAGTCCATACCGCTGGGCACAGTTATCGATAAACCGTTCCAACTCTTCAAAGGGATCCGCGGGCTTAATGTACACAGCCCGCAGCGTCCCTAAAGGAGGCTTTACTTTGGCCACCATATCTAACAACACCGTGCAGTCCTTGCCCCCATTGAAGCATAGCAGTCGCTCATTGGGCCTATACAGGGTCATTGCGCGTTTTATCAACTCTCTGGAGCGATCCACTTTGTCCCGCAAACTCAGACTTGGCTTGGTCTTGTCCACGAAGTCTGTTGCCGGTGAAATATGAAGACTCGATATTTTATGTGATGCCGACGCACGCAGAGCGATAAACGCGCGGCGGAATTAATTTTAACAAGCTTAACACAAATTTCAACCATATGACAATTTAACATTGAAAACTAAATATTTTGAAAAAGTGTGTAATTTGACTTGTTCTTCGTAGTCTTTTACTATTTAAAAAGCTGCTTTAAAATTCATATTAAAAAGTGTTCTAATTGATCAACATTTACAGAATCTAGAATACTCTAAAATATATTCCATTATTTTGGTGAAAAACGTGATAAAAAATGTCATGTTTTGCTATGATAACAACTTCTAAAGCAGAGGCATTATGCTTTGGCTTTCCTTACATAACTCGAAGAATGCAGGAATAGAAATAAAATACTTATATGTTTTTCTAATTTACCTAAAGTAACCAACATCAAACGTAGGGAAAAATTGCCGCGTCCGATAGAGATTAAAATTGAATTTAAAAAACACTACTTCATAATTTTAAGTGAAACCAAATACATAATGAAGATTAAACTATGCACAATACAGTCAAATTAATTTCATTAAAATATTTCATTTCCCAGAATTCAAAAGTTTTTTGAAAATGTGAATTATATTAGGTCGGGCACGAATGCCTCACATTTTTGTAATTATCCTGAAAACGAACCGTTATCCAAAATCGATCATAGCACTAATTATAGCGCTAACCAAAAGGTTTAAGTTTCAATATTATTAAAATTAATTAAATATCAATTAATTAATTCTTAAGTCTTGCCACATGCTTTATTTCAGTTTGAATGCGTACAAACGTTGCTCGTGTACAAGTAGTTTGTCCATATGGCAACAGACGAATATCCGAAAAATTAGACTTATCGTTAAACGGCAAAGCTCTCTTTAGAATTTAACTTTTATTTTCAGGTTCAGTACAAGCAAACAGAACCCATACTTCAATTATTTAGAATTTGTAAAAACCACTTATATGGTATATATGTATGTACATATATGATTAAAGTTAGAAAAGAGTATTTACTGAAATAGATGCTGAAGTACCTATCGACAGAAATGCGGCTTATGATAACAAAGGAGTACCTCATACCTTCCCTAAGTTATGAGATCGAAATATTCGGGAGCTGTGATGCTGCCTTATCTTTAACAACATTGCAAGTTACATATTCAATGTTAAACGAGGTGAACCCATTACGGTAATGGCCAATAGCATATACGGTCTTAACTTTAAAACTTGGAGCAATACCAGAAATCTAATTCTTTTGTATAAGGTAATATATACCAGAGAACCCAGTTATCTCTTTAAAAAATTAAAGTTCGTAACATCAGCAAGAACCAATAATTTAATTCATTTTCGTCATAAGCTTTCATCTTCTCGATTTCATTTTCTTTTTCACACTATTCGCTTGTGAAATGTACTACCTTAAAATGTAAAAGCCATAAAAGAATGAAAATATAAACCAGGCATAAATAAATAAAATGTTGAATGTTAAAATAATGATATGCAAATTGTTAGAATAAGAAATACAGTATTACAAGCTTGTTTAGTTTTAAGAAAGATATTCAAATTTAAAGAACCAATTTTTTAACTTGTAGCGTTAGGAATATAACATATTCACCAATAAATTAAATTAAATTAATTATGTCCGAAATAAATCGAAGCATTGCAGGCATGTTTTTAAATACATTGAATTTTTAAACGGATTACCTTTTTATATAATAGAGTAAATTATGCATGTAATATTTATCTTCCTAAGGCTAATAAAGTCTCGGATTTGTTATTACATACATACATCTAAATAAGTTCTCTTTTTAATAAAGTTAAGTGAAAACTGGTTTCCGTTTTCTTTTTTATCAATTTGCAATTTCTTTTTAAAGATTCGGCCAACGACAAATCGTTTACTCAACAAGTTCAGTGGCCTAAAAAATAGTAGAAGAACGGTTTGGTCTTTTCCATTTATGTTGGCCATGCAAAAAAGCCCCCTACACATTGACTTCGAGACCGAAAACTTGGTCAGTGCTTGCTCGACAGTTTTGGCTGCAGTGCTTCTGAGTATATAAAGCCGGTGAGCCGAAGCCAGAGACAACGCAGTCTGTTCTTTAGTCAGTCTAACAAATCAACAACCTCACCTCAACATGAAGTGCATCGCTATCATCGCCACCGTCGCCTGCCTGCTGGCCGTCGTTGCCGCCGACAAGGACGACAAGATGCTCGGCTCATCCTACGGAGGTGGCTACGCCAAGCCTGCCGCACCAGCATCTTACTCTGCCCCCGCTCCTGCAGCCTACTCCGCCCCAGCTCCAGCTGCTTACTCTGCCGCTCCTGCTACCTACTCCGCCCCCGCTCCGGTCTCCATCCCGGCCCCGCCTTGCCCCAAGAACTACCTCTTCAGCTGCCAGCCCAACCTGGCCCCAGTCCCTTGCAGTGCTCCAGCTCCGAGCTACGGATCCGCCGGCGCCTACTCACAGTACGCCCCCGTCTACGCCCACCAGTGGTAAACATATCCATGGAACCACATTTCGACCGATCGACACGACACTTGCAATGATCTACAAAAATATAATTTATGTTAAAGCATACAACTTGGTTGATTTTCGTTTTCGGGTGGGTTTTGGGTTAATGAGTAGGAGAGATCCGCATTATTTACGCAATTTAATGTTAAATTATAACTCCCAATAATACCGTTATTTTAACGACGATGATGACGATGACGACTTAATCATATTGAAGGTCATCGCGTAAAGCTTAAGAATCTTTAATGACTATAAGCATCCAAGTTACTACCAAACTGGTCATATAATTATCCATTTATAAGTAAATAAAATACATAATCAATAAAAATAAAAAACCTGGCGAAACCAGATTGGGTTACAAGTTGTGTACTTTCGAAGAAGCAGTGTTAGGTACATAATAAATTAAATTAAGAGAAGAGACAACGACCACCACCGTAGACATGATGTAGACAAGATATCCGGCCAATACACAGGGTTTGTGTTTGTAATCTCCAGAGAGCCGTTTCATTTTTAGTTGTTTTTTGTAGCATAACAAATAAAATTGTATTAAAGTTGATCTACCAACTAAATGGCTGTAAAACGTTGAGTATGACGACGAACAATATAACATGGATAAATAACAGAATGGAATTAATAAATTTTTATAACAGGGAACAATAACACCACTAGGTTACTCCTTTGAGGACTCCTCTTGTCCAGATGATGGCCAATGAAGCTGCTAGTCGATTGGTGTAAGCTGCGAGGCGTTTGTTATACCGACTCGAGTGCCGGTTGATCTGCTTCCTGATGTGGGAATGTGGAGGTCACTTTCCAGGGCATTGTTTCTAATATTCCAAGGTGCATTCGCAATCATATGCAGCGCTCGGTTTTAGACTCTTTGGACTTTTATGGCATTAGAGTCTGACGCCATGCCCGACAATTTGATGCAGCTGTCATCGAGGGCACAACAATTGTTTTAAACAGCAACATTTGGTTGGCAAGGATGAACTTGTTCGTTGGTCTAAGCAACCAGTTAAGCTTCCTGAGCTTATCACGACAAGTAGCTGTGAAGAGCATTTTAGAAAACCGACACATTGTTGCTCCATTTTACCGGCTTTTTCAAAACCAATTTTGACCACTATCCCATTTGACCTCAGGTAAAGGTTTTCTCATCCTCTAAATATGTTATTTTTATCCAATAATCCAATCCCCTGAATAAGTGGACCAAATTACGAGAACAACTAAGATTTATAAACGAGTTTCCAAACAGATTGTTGGTATTTATTTAAAGGTTTAGAAACTTAATGAAATGTAGAGGCAAGTTTGTCTTAATAATTTTTCACTTAACACTTTCCTTTCTTAATATATCCATAAAGAAAATAGAATTGAAACGTTAACAAACTTTTAAGGCTTATGAAATAAAGGAGAAGCACTAGGAATTAGCTTAGTGTAAAGCTATAACTCAATTTAAGGTTTCTTACAAAACCAAATTCGAGTCAAATGAAGAAGACTTCGGAGAGAATTAAATTCGTTTTTGCATGGATGTAAACTTTTTTGAAATTCCGAAGGTTGAACAAACATTCTTTGCAATTTTCAGTAAAACCTGTCGTTGAGTTTCAATAATCGTCCGGATCAACGATTGCATCATCAAAGAATCTCGCAGCCTGCAATTGTTTTCGGATGGCTCCCACCTGGGTTAGGATTTTCGGCGATGAAGTAGAAACGGTGAACTTTTGCACGGCGGGTACCTGTGAAAAGATAAAAATAAACTTAAATCTTAGCTCATCTCCAGGTCGCATCTGACTTCATACAACCCCTTGGGGTATACAAGTCTATTACGTACCTCCCAGCGCTTTTTAAGGTTGTCCATCTTTCGTTGCCCGTTCTCTGCTAATGGGGCCAACGTCGTTTCCTGCCGCGTCATTTTTGGCATCTCGCGCAGCAACGGCATTGACAAATTGTGGCCCGCCGCCTCTCGCAGTACCACATCCCTTCTGGCTAACGACTGTGGCGTGGTCTGCGTGCCCCGGTGGCGCGAGTCGCTCTTGCTCCGTTGCAACTCCGGCTGCTTCTGCTGCTGCTTGGTGGCAAGATCGCCATAGTTCCGAAGGTAGCGGGACAAGCGCTGATCCGTTTGGCGGCGCACTCGCTCCATGGATTGCTCGTCGGCACTGTCCATTTCAAAGCTGGTGTTGGCACTGCCCGAGGCTGCTGCCGGAAGCTGATCAATGATATTTGCCTTGAATGGCGTGTCCTTGTGGTCGTCGTGGAAAATCGAATTGCGTGCGATATTAATGGAGTACGGAGGCGAGAATGCATCGGTCGAGTCCTTAGCTGGCGGCACCGAATAGTTTAATTCCAGGACTTCAAAGGCATTGTCCGACGAAGGCTCCGCCCTGTGGCTTTCCTTTTTTTCGTTGATATGCGTGCGTTCCGTGTCCCTGCCGCAGGCGATTTCTTCCAGGCAAAAGGAGCACAGATTTCGACGACAGTTCATGCAGACATTCCGCTCTCGCTGACACGCGCGGCAGACATCGCTTTTGGCCAAGCAATCGCCGCACATGGCGTACAAGCGCTCGCACTTGTGGCACACCAAGGCATAGCTGCTCTGGCAATTGTGCTCGTTGGGATCGTCATCCTCGCTATCATCTCTCTGGTGCTTGGCCTCCTCGGAGCCGCCTTCGGCCGGCTTTTCTTCTTTCGTGCCATTCCTGCGGTTCGGTTCACTTTGCTTCAGCTTTAGCGCAAGCTTTCGTTGACACCGCAGGCAACAGCTCTCGTAGTTCTTCAGCGGCTCGTCGCAAAGGGGGCAGATCTTCTCGCACAAATGGAAGCACTCGCGTTCGATCTTAGCCATTTGCGGCACTTCAAACTCGAGATCAACGGCCGCGGGCAGGGGCTGGCCACGCCTGTACTCGTGGTGTGCCGAGTTACTGAAGTATTTATACACTTTGTTGGCGCTGTTGCTTGTTTCGGCTAGATTGTTGGTTCCTTTTCCCTTGTCCTGCAGCAGCTGGGCATCCTGTTCCAGTTTGGTCAGCAACTGTTCGCGCATCAAGCGGTTCTGTTCCGAGTCAAAGCGAGCCTGTGAGTACAGTGAGCGAATGTATAAAAGATTAACACAATTACTTGGCCCCAGCACATTTGCAATTATCTTTCATTACTCGGGTAATAGTTAAAGACCGAAATAGTCCTATCAATTACATTACACTTTCGCTGCCGAACGGTTTTTATGTTGACAGCAAGTATGGGTCGTGTTATAGTAATTCAAATCAATAGCTATTAAGGCTTGTCGCAGTTTTTGGCGTGTAATCAATATCTAGTTATATAAAAAAACCCAAGGTTCATATTCGATTTAATTCCCGCTTCCACCGATAGCTGATATTATTTCTGGGCTTTGCAATGGATAATCACTAAGATGCATTGCCCGTTATACCTAATTTGCCATAAGCAAGCAATTTGGGAGCGTAAAAAGTGCGTAGAGATCTAGAATACTTGAGGATAGTCGGCGACTGTCGCTATTCGCATAAAACGCAAGAATATCGTTCATCTTCTTGCTATATTGGTCTTTGTTTAATTATTATTATTATTACATTACAATTAATAACAAGAAACAAGTGCAAAACTGCTCACTTTTCAAAAAATGTTGTGGCGAAACGGCTAAAGTTAGCTTAATGAATTAAATACCACATAATAACACAACATTTGAACAATTTTTGTTTTAATTTTTGTATTAATAAATATTTAAAGATCTACGAGTAATAGGGAATCTCCTGAGTCAACTCAACAAAAGGTGGCTTACGTTGTAAATCCTAACTGTCCACAAAAACATCCAATATGAAAAGTCAAAACCTTGCTTTTTGACCAAAAACTTAAGTTAATTTGTTTAATAAAAACAATAATAAAATTTCAAATTAAAAAAGCTCGACATGAGTACCTGAAGAATTTGTTAAATAAGTTATGTTCCAAATTTCAAACCGATTTGTCCAGTACATTTTGAATTATCGTTTACAGCCATTTACAAAATGTCATTTTTCAGGAGAGCGCTTTAAAATGTTTCATACATGGAATACCAAACGACCTTCTTTAAACTCTGCATTACTTCTTCAATTCTCATATGATCGATGTAAAACTTGGACACAATATTCTCAAGATATCAAGCATTAAAATTGACGAAAGAGATAAATAAAACAAAAAAACCATAAAAAAAAAATTACAGCTGTTGACTTTACCTTTTCAGCCCGCAGACGCTCCCTTTCCAGCTGCTCCTCCAGCTTTATTGTCTTGAGTTGTGCTTCCAACCGTCTAGAATTGAATATATTATATTAATTATGTATAAATAATGAATTGGCTGTGTTCAACAAAGGTTATACCTCGTCAAGGCCTCCTCTTGGCGACGCTCCTTTTCCCTTAAGAGCTCGATGGAACGACGCTTATCGTCAATCTGCTGCATCAGATCGCGCTGGTAATCCTTTTTTCGAGCTGTTTCCAGCTCAGCACTACGCAGATTTCGTTCCATAATGCCATCCCCAGTTACAATATTGGAAAGTTCCACATGGCCCAGATCCTGGAGCAGCTTTTGACGTGTTGTGCCAGGCCGAATCTTAGGCGGCACATAGTTGGGATTACTATTTACAATTAACTCTAGGTCAGTCTTATCAGTTGTGCTCTGGTTGGAGATGCTTGTGCTAGATTGGCTGGAGGAGCGGGGTTTCTCCGGGGCAGGGGCAGGAGCTGGCTGTGATGTGTTCTTTACGTGACCCTGTCGTTGGTGCCTGTTTGTGACTGGCGGATGGAGCATCTAGAACAAAAGCAAACAGTTATTTGTCAGCTCATAAATTTCACACTGCTAAGCGCATGCCAGTGCCTAGCACATAATTGGAATAAATATTTTTATGGTAATCTCCGGACACTTGCCTGGTGCTTGAGAAAGTTCTGCTGGTTCTCGCGCTGTCGCTCACGCAAATAAGTTTGCCGCTTCTGATTTTCATTGTTAAAGCCGGGAAAGTAGGAGTAAAATGTGTCCGTAACCCATTGCTCCATATCATCCTGCGTGCGAAAGAGAGTTGTTGTATATACATATTTAT